ATGAGGCACACAATATTGATGTGGGCCTACTTTTTAATCATAATAGCTACTGACAAGGTAATTAATTTTATTTTTTCCTGGTCCAAATGGCACTATATTGAGATTAAAAGCGAGTGTGCCGGGGCCGTGGGCTGGCGCTCAGGCGGTGGCCGGGCTGGTGACAGCCCCTTCGTCTTGCTGCTTCTGTGCGACCTTCGGAGACGGTGTTGTTATTAATTGGCTCAGGCTATTATATCAGAAAGAGCAGCGCAGGGAACTGTGATAAAGTGTGTGTTTCTAACGATGGCCTTACAGGAATCCAGGCCTGACGGTGGGATTGTGCGTGCAGATCATCCGTGTGTGCACATGTGTGTGCACAGAGGAGACCTCACAAATCAGAAAACAGCTTTCTAGAGCACATGCAGTCAGTTTAATTCCTAAACTAGGTTTGTAATAAAAGAATTCACCTCAGAATGTACTTCCTGTTGAATGCGCTGAGCGGGTGTTCCGAGCCCTGTGTTGGGATGCTTCGCAGGCCTTGCTTGCTCTGCCACCCCCAGTGAGGCGTGCTGAGCCGCGTCCTGCACCAGGGAAGAGCCAGAGGGCCTGGGCCCGTTCCTGCACAGTGCAGATCCCCCCGCCCCACAGACTCTCCTGGTGCCCCGTGCACACCCTCCCTGGGAAGCTTGCACTAACGCAGAGGATGAGCCCTGTTCGGCCTTGCTTCCTGCTTCTCTGGCCCATGGGCATTGTCAGTTCTCCAAGAAGGCTTCTGGGCAGCCTCTCAGCACCTGGAGCAGTCACTGGGGGCCAAGAACCCCCTTTCCCTTTAGTACATGCTACGAGCCTTTAGTCCATGCTACCGGGAGAGCTCTCTAAAACAAAGATTTAATCTACATGTGTTTGACACAGACAGGAGTTGACAAGTACGTGCGCATCCTTCAAGCAGGGAAAGCTACATACTGTGACCGGGGCACATAGCACACCCCAGCGCCCGTCTGTGTCATGGGCATAGCACGCCTGTGTGGGGCACTGCGTGCAAAGTGTGTTCTCATTTCTGCAGTCATGAAGGAAAAGTTTACATCAACCTTAGTATTTTTCAAGGTCAAGTGAAGCATAAGTACAAAAGGAAAATGAGCTAAGTGTGGTAGTACACACCAGTAACCCCAGAGCTTGGGAGACTTGAGGCAGGAGAGAATCAGCCTGGGCTGTATGCAAGACTGTCTGAAAAGCAAAACGCAAAGAGATGAGCAAGCTTTTGTCTGTGAGTCCACACACATTTGTGTTGCTTCCTGTGCTGGACTGCTGAAGGAGCGCGAGTGCTCAGGGGCTTGCTGGTGAGGTGTTGACACGTGCAGCGCACGTGCAGCACACGTGCAGCACACGTGCAGCGCAAGAGGTGCCAACCTCTCGAGGCTTTTTCTAGAAGCGTGACGGTTTCTTCCAGTTTTTTCTACAGCCAGTAGAAGCTTGGGGTTTGCGTTCCTTTGCTTTTCTCTAAACACTAGAAGAAGAAGAGGAGGAGAAGGTAGAGCTCCCTGATGGTGGCCCTGTGGCACAGGTGGCACTGTCTGGTCCCCAGGCCCTAGGCCCACCTGCCACTCCACCTTCTTCCAGACCCTCCAGCACTTGCTGTGTGAGACTGTGAAGAGGTCTGCTCACGACAGCCCGGGGTGCTTCTTCTACCGCCTGTGGGCCTGGGGTGGCAGTGGCGCGAGGAGTTGAGTGTTCGGACCTGTGGGCTCTCGGCAGGCAGGCTGCACACCTCACGGGAGAAGAGCGCATGTGTCTCCTCCTCTCCCCCCTGCGCCCCCCACCCCCCACCGCCTAGATTGCAGCACAGAGACCTCGGACCCCTATTTCATGACTGGGAAAACCAGGAAGCTGTGTGTGGCTGGGCACCAGTGCTTATACCTGTAGTTTTAGCTATTTAGGAAGCTGAAACCTGGAAAATCGAGATTCAAAGACAACGTGGGTAGACGAATCCGTGAACTCCACTGAAGTGGAGATGTGGCTCAAGTAGTAGTAGGTCCCCAACCATGAGCCAAGTTAAGAGTGAGTGGCCCTGAGTTCAAGCCTCAGTGTCAGCACAAAAAGATTGAAGAATGATCTGCTGCCCCAAGAGCCTCTCTTAAATGCTTAAATTTGAACGATACTCCAACTTAAAAGGAAGACAAAAGTTGTAGAACTTGGCCAGGTATTAATAATCAAGAGGAAAATAAGAGCAGAGACAGTTTTTAAAAGAATAGTCAACAGGTGAGGCTTCCTGTAAAAAGCCATATGAGAGAAAGGCAGACGGAATAGGTCAGATCTATAGTCTCAAGTAGACCTGTGCAGACTCAGCGGGAGGTGGGCTAGGCATTTAAATGCAGGTGCCTTCAGCACCAGGCTTGGGGGCCCCATCCCAGAAGGTGAAGTATACCAGAATAGCCGGCAGCTGTAAGAGGCCCCAGCACAGCCCAGGGCAGAGAGCCAGGCCCACTGCAGGCACAGGGCTGGTGGAGGTTCTGTTCCCTGTTCAGGGGCGATTTAGTGGAGATGGTAGAGGATCCTGGGGTCAACGCTGTACGCACGAGCTCTGCAGCCTTTCTGGCCAGCCGGCTACTCAGCGCCCCCTGCCTCCCTCACTGGGGTACTGAATGGAGCAGAAAGCAGTCAGGGGCAGCAAGGCTGCTGCAGAGGGGACTGCTAGCACTCCAGTGACCTCGTCCTTCCCATGATGACAGTGCCTGCAGAAGCTCCTCACACACCACACTGCACACCACACCGTGTAGGCTCCACACCAGGAGGGCTGCTCACTTCTCCCGCTAACAGGCCAGATGAAAAATCCGTGTCTGATTAGTCAACCTCGTTCTCTAGCCTCCTCTGCTTCCAGAGCCCTGGCATCCTGAGCCTGGCTCCAGTGTCCACAAACAGCATCCTGGCAGTGGCTAGGGCCCCTGCTGGCACTCAGCTGTGCACAGAGCCATGCACACCTGCTGGCACTCACTTGTGCACAGAGCCTGCACACCTGCTGGCACTCACCTGTGCACAGAGCCGTGCACACCTGCTGGCACTCACCTGTGCACAGAGCCGTGCACACCTGCTGGCACTCACCTGTGCACAGAGCCGTGCACACCTGCTGGCACTCACCTGTGCACAGAGCCGTGCACACCTGCTGGCACTCACCTGTGCACAGAGCCGTGCACACCTGCTGGCACTCACCTGTGCACAGAGCCGTGCACACCTGCTGGCACTCACCTGTGCACAGAGCCGTGCACACCTGCTGGCACTCACCTGTGCACAGAGCCGTGCACACTTGCTGGCACTCACCTGTGCACAGAACCGTGCACACCTGGCACTCACCTGTGCACAGAGCCATACACACCTGTTGCACTCACTTGTACACAGAGCCATGCACACCTGCTGGCACTCACCTGTGCACAGAGCCATGCACACGCTGGCACTCATCTGTGCACAGAGCCATGCACACCTGCTGGCACTCACCTGTGTACAGAGCCATGCACACGCTGGCACTCATCTGTGCACAGAGCCATGCACACCTGCTGGCACTCACTTGTGCACAGAGCCATGCACACCTGCTGGCACTCACCTGTGTACAGAGCCATGCACACGCTGGCACTCACCTGTGCACAGAGCCATGCACACCTGCTGGCATGCACCTGTGCACAGAGCCGTGCACACCTGCTGGCACTCACCTGTTCACAGAACCGTGCACACCTGCTGGCACTCACTTGTGCACAGAGCCATGAATACCTGCTGGCATGCACCTGTGCACAGAGCCATGCACACCTGCTGGCACTCACATGTGCACAGAGTCATGCACACCTCTACCTCCCCACCAGGTGATACATTAGGACCTCCTGATAACCAGGCAATGATTTTGAGGACTAATAAAAATTCTCCCTGACTCTGCCTGGTCAATTACTGGGTTCAAGAAATACTACTCCAGGGCTGGGAAGGTGGCCCAGTGGTAGAGCGCTTGCCTTGCATGCCTGAGGCCCTGGGTTCGATTCCCCAGCACCACATAAGCAAAAAGAAAAAAGCCGGAAATGGCGCTATGGCTCAAGTGGTAGAGCACTAGCCTTGAGCTGAAGAGCTGAGGGACAGTGCCCAGGCCCAGAGTTCAGGCCCCACGACCGGACCCAAAAAAAAAAAATAAAATAAATACTACTCCGGCCAATCTCTTCATCTGTCACAGGGAAGCCCTAAACCAACAGCAAGTCTCCATCCCTCTGATGTTTGTTGCAAATGGTCACCATTCACATTCAGATCAGAAGTAAGGAGCACTGGGCCTGCATGGAGAACAAGAGCCCACTGGCTCAATGGTGACCTTACCCAATGCTTGGGAGATTTGGGCTACGTTTTCTACGGAGGCTACTCCTGCCGTGCCAATCGTGTGTGTGTGTGCGCGTGTGTGTGTGTGTGCGTGTGTGTGTGTGTGTGTGTTTCCATGGAATATCTTCATAAAGGAGATCCTGAGGGATTCAGAATATATCAAAAAGTCTCTTGCAGCCAGCAGCACCAGCTAGTGTGTGTGCTATATAGCTTGGAAATATCTGGGTGGGATAATTCATAAACGAGTTGAGCTGAGCCCCCAGGAGCTGTACTGTCTCCTCGAGGTCCCCAGGAGGCAGTGCTTGGCTGAGCTTGGCTCTGGTCCAGGGAGGTCTATCTGCAGGACTCTCCCTCCACTGCAGTGCTGACCATGTTGCCTTCCTGCAGCTCCTGAATGCCGTTTACACTCAGGCACCTGTCTTGGCCCCCATTTCTTTCTTGCATGCCTCATTTACTCTGAGTTTGTTTTTGTTGTTGCCTGGCCTGGTGAGGCCAGAGCTGAGTGCTGTTTGGCAGCCACATGATGGTGGGAGTCCCCACTAGGGCTGAGGAGCGAAGAAGTGATCACCAACAAATGGTAGGCACAGCCTCTGGGGAGCATGGAAGGGAGATGTAGCCAGTCTGCACCCGGTAACGCTGCTCAGTGCCGGGCATCAGTGACCTCTGTCGTTTTCTCTTCTTAGAATCATCGACCAGCGGTTTGAGAAAGTTTCCTACTTTGTCTTTGGAGATTTCAACTTCCGCCTGGACTCCAAGTCTGTTGTAGAGGTAGGCATGGCTTCCCCCCCCCTCGCCCGTGCTCCCCTCTCGCCCCTCCCTGCTTTGTGGTGGAACACGCTGGGGAATGTACCTTTGCTGGCCCTGTCCGTGTTGGCCTTCTCACTGATTACCTGATAGGGGAACAGCTTTGTGGTTAGAAGAAAGAGGGACTAGGGTCCCTTAGCACCTCGTAGCTGGTCAGCCGAGCAGCCCTGTGTCCACAGGTTGGTGGGCCACTCTCAGGACAGCTCAGGGCCTACAGAAGGCCTGGCAAACACCTGCCAGCTAGGCCTGCAGGGCTTCTGTCCAGTGATGTTCTAACTGAATTTTGTTTTTTCCCCCTCATTACACACGTAGAATTTTAAAAGCCCACTTCAAAATTTGTACTCACCTGTCTGCAACTCCCAGAGATAAGCCCTGGGAGCAGCAGCCTGGCGCTGATGTCAGGCAGGGTCTGATGTGGGTCAGGGTCAGGAGCTGTGGCCCGAGCACTTGGCGCTGTCTTGGCTTCCTCGGCCCTAGGACAGCAAGCTGGCTCTGGCCACACCCTCGTTCTTTTCCTGGCTCTTGTGTAACGGGGTACACCACCTTCCCTGCAGAGCAACAGGAGAGGGTCTTCAAAGTGAGATGTACATACCCTTCACACTCCTACACACGGTGTGGAGCAGGCCCAGACCGGATGACTTCAGCCGGCCTCAGCCAACCTTCCCGTACTTGGCCTGCACCCGGTGGCTGACATGTTAGTTTTCCATCACTGGCAGAATATTACTTCTTTTTCTTTTGGAGGTACTGGGGTTTGAACTGAGGGTCTTGCATTCCACTAGTTGAACCACATCCCAGCCCTCTGGTCATTTTTCAGGTAGAGTCTCAGTTGTGCTTGTGTCAGCCTAAGAATGAAGCCTTCCTTTTTATGTCTTCCACGTAGATGAGATGGCAGGCACTGCTGTCGTGTCTGGCTTGCTTGTTGAGATGGAAATCCCACCAAGTTTTTGTCCAGGACGGCCTGGACATGCGATCCTCATGTTCTTCACCTTGGAATTGCAGGTGTCAGTCACTACACCTGACAGAAAGTCTTCTTTCTTCTTTCTCAATCTCCCTTCCTCCCTCCCTCCCTCCCTCCCTTCCTTCCTTCCTTCCTTCCTTCCATCGTAGGACTTGAACTCAGGGCCTGCACTGTCCCTGAGGTCTTTTGCTCAAGGCAAGTGTTGTATCACTTGAGGCACAGCTCCACCTGTGGCTTTTTTGGTGGTGAATTGAAGATGAACGAGTCCCATGGACTTTCCTGCCCAGCTGGCATTGAACTGTGACCCTCAGATCTCAGCCTCCTGAGTAGCTAGGATGACAGGCGTGAGCCACAGACACCCAGCCAAAAAGCATTGAAGAGTCAGAGCTCAATAGGCTTCTGTCCTCTCTCTTTGGTTGACAGAATGAGTAAAGTGCTTTACAAGTATTTTTTTCTGTGTTTAAGCTGAGGACAATTTGTAAGTGTGTGTGTGTGTGTGTGTGTGTGTGTGTGTGTGTGTGTGTGTGTGTGTGTGTGTTGGGCTCATATGTCTCCCTGATGGTGAGTGACACTCGGAGGGGAGGCCTGAGTCCTTCAGGGAAGCCTTGTGGAGGGAGAGGCGGGGCCTGCGGAGGGAGGGGCGAGGCCTGTGGAGGGAGGGGAGGGGCCTGCAGAGGGAGAGGCGGGGCCTGTGGAGGGACAGGTAGGGAACTGTGGAGGGAGAGGCGGGGCCTGTGGAGGGAGAGGCGGGGCCTGTGGAGGGAGAGGTAGGGAACTGTGGAGGGAGAGGCGGGGCCTGCGGAGGGAGAGGCGGGGCCTGTGGAGGGACAGGTAGGGAACTGTGGAGGGAGAGGCAGGGCCTGTGGAGGGACAGGTAGGGAACTGTGGAGGGAGAGGCGGGGCCTGCGGAGGGAGAGGCGGGGCCTGTGGAGGGAGAGGCGGGGCCTGTGGAGGGACAGGTAGGGAACTGTGGAGGGAGAGGCGCGGCCTGTGGAGGGAGAGAGTCGGGGCCTGTGGTGGGAGAGAGGCGGGGCCTGAGGTGAGAGACAGGCGCGGCCTGCGGAGGAAGAGGCGGGGCCTGTGGATGGAGAGGTGGGGCCTAGGGAGGGGAGGGGCCTGTGGAGGGAGAGAGGAGGGGCCTGAGGTGAGAGACAGGCGCGGCCTGCGGAGGAAGAGGCGGGGCCTGTGGATGGAGAGGTGGGGCCTAGGGAGGGGAGGGGCCTGTGGAGGGAGAGAGGAGGGGCCTGAGGTGAGAGACAGGCGTGGCCTGTGGAGGGAGAGGCGGGGCCTGCGGAAGGAGAGGCTGGGCCTGTGGAGGGAGAGGTGGGGCCTGCGGAAGGAGAGGCGGGGCCTGCAGAGGGAGGGGCGAGGCCTGTGGAGGGAGAGGCGGGGCCTGCGGAAGGAGAGGCGGGGCCTGCAGAAGGAGAGGCGGGGCCTGCGGAGGGAGGGGCGAGGCCTGTGGAGGGAGGGGAGGGGCCTGCAGAGGGAGAGGCGGGGCCTGTGGAGGGAGGGGAGGGGCCTGCGGAGGGAGAGGCGGGGCCTGTGGAGGGAGGGGCGGGGCCTGCGGAGGGAGGGGCGGGGCCTGTGGAGGGAGAGGAGGGGCCTGCGGAGGGAGGGGCGGGGCCTGTGGAGGGAGAGGAGGGGCCTGCGGAGGGAGGGGCGGGGCCTGTAGAGGGAGAGGCGGGGCCTGTGGAGGGAGGGGCGGGGCCTGCGGAGGGAGAGGTGGGGCCTGCGGAGGGAGGGGCGGGGCCTGCACGGCTATGCATGGAAATGCTGCACACACTGATCTGACCCGTATGCTCAGCCACTTGGCTTCAGCTCCCCAGGGTCAGGGCTTCTGCCCCAGAGGGCTCGTGGTGGGCAGCTTGGGGGGGGGGGGAGAGGAGGAGCGGGCACCGAGGGGCTGTGGCCTCAGGAGCCGCGCCCCCTGGTTTCGGGTCTGGAGCTGGCCAGCTGCCATCCGGAGCAGGACGGTGCCCTGTCTTGAGAACAGGGTAAAGGGGTCACTGCCCTGTGCAGCCCAGCCTCATGCCTGGGGAGGGGGGACAAGCCCCAAGGACTTAAGTTTCCTTCCTGTAAATCATGAGCTCGGAAACTGCGGGGCCTACTCCGCCCACCGTCTGTCTGCTAGGGACGCTTTCCTCCACTGGCCTGGGATATTTTGGGGGCAAGTATGCCTTTGCAATGTCAGAGTTCATGGAGAGACTCAGAAGCAATGGCAGTGGTGTTCATTTGCCACCAAGTACCACCTGCATCACAGCCTAAACTACTGCATGACAGCCCTAAACTACTGGCAATACCTCTTCTCTTATTCCAATCTGAATTACTAGTTTTTTGGGGGGGGAATCCGGTCGTTGGGCCTGAACTCTGGGCCTGGGCGCTGTCCCTCAGCTCTTCAGCTCAAGGCTAGCGCTCTACCACTTGAGCCACAGAGCCACTTCCGGGTTTTTTTTTCTACTTATGTGGTGCTGAGGAATCGAACCAAGGGCCTCATGCATGCAAGGCAAGCACTCTACCACTGAGCCACTTTCCCAGTCCTGAATTACTAATTTTAATAAGTCTCAGATTACACATTTTTAAAAAAGTTTATGCCAGTATGGGAACTTGAACTCAGAGCCTTTTACTCTACCTTAACTTTTTCACTCAAAGCTGGCACTCTACCACTTGAGCCATACCTCCACTTCTAGCTTTTTTTGCTGGTTAATTTGAGGTAAGAGTGTCTTAGATTATCTGCCAGGTCTGGCTTTGAACCATGATTCTTAGGTCTCAGCCTCCTGAGTAGCTAGGATTAGAGGTGTGAGTCAATGGTGCCTAACTGAAATTATACAGTGTGCACTTTTATACATTATACAGTAGCATTTTATATGGGCTATAAAGTGCTAAGAAAGCATTAAAAAGGCTACAGAATTCAGAGGGCACAGGTAGACACAAGGAAATGTCTGGAGGAGATCAGATCAGAGGTTCTACAAGCCACAGATGCAGAGCTATTCCAGGTGCAGAGTTGTCAAGCACAGGTCTGGGTGGCAGGCCACGTTGTGTGTTAGTCTGACGTGAGTGGGATGTCACCGTCAGGAACACTGCACTCCCGCTGGTCAGGACAGCCAGAGGTCCTGTGCTGTAGCAGCCTGAGAGGGACCAGGTGACAGAGTCTGTCATGTAATGGCCTTGTGCCAGTCTCAGTGTACTCCTCCCTACAGCCCTGGGTGAGGAGATTGTGGCTGGTGTGATTGATGAGCTCCTGTCTCTAATGTTTCTGAAACAATTCAGCATATTGCAGTTGTAATTATTTGTTGACACACAAATGTGATCAGTTTGTGCCTTGTGGTGTGCTGACAGATGGTAGTTGTTTGTGTGTGTGTAAACAAAATGTAGAGCCATTCTGTGTTGGCACTTTTGTGCAAATGGAGAAGTTTAGTTCCAAATGCTTGCTTCCTGGAGTGGAAGGAGTGAAGGCCGATCCCAATTTTAAAGCTATATTTCCTATCCACACAGAGTAGCCAGAGCCCTGCCATCCTCACACAGCCACATCCATCTGTGAGGGCCCCTTCTCAGAGCCATTGCATGGGCAGTGTGTCCTAAGTGGACCTAATACCCCAGGGGAGGGGGAAGGCATCCCTGAGATTGGACACTCAGAACCTCCCTGAGAGTGTGTGCTCTAGAACCCCCTGAGAGTGTGCTCTAGAACCTCCCTGAGAGTGGGACACTCAGAATCTCCCTGAGAGTGTGTGCTCTAGAACCTCCCTGAGAGTGGGACACTCAATCTCCCTGAGAGTGTGTGCTCTAGAACTCCCTGAGAGTGGGACACTCAATCTCCCTGAGAGTGTGTGCTCTAGAACTCCCTGAGAGTGGGACACTCAGAATCTCCCTGAGAGTGTGTGCTCTAGAACCTCCCTGAGAGTGGGACACTCAGAACCTCCCTGACAGTGGACACTAAGAACCTCCCTGAGAGTGTGTGCTCTAGAACCTCCTTAAGAGTGTGTGCTCTAGAACCTTCCTGACAGTGGAC